GCGGCCATTAACGTGAGACGTTCGTTACGGCAGGCTTTCGTATTTATGAAAACTGCTACTTAAGTGCCGTAAAGGCGCAAGAGGAAGAAATTCTTAAAATATTTCGCTAAGCTGTCAAATTCGATCGACCGGATTCAATAGCGATTTAACATTTGACCTGCGAGAAAGCAAGTTCTGAGTGCCATTAAACCGAATTAATTAAATCCCATTAATTTAATCCTTTGAGATAGTTCTCTGATTAAAATTCTGTATATCGGCTCATCAACGAGTTTTCCCAGGTGTCTCAGCATCCTTAAGTATAATTGGATATTCGAAACTAGCGCATAGTGCATTTATTTCATGAAGTTAAACGAACAATTTACATTTCGCCAGTTTACTTAAGACTTGTATTTGTGTCCAAGTTGGTTCATAACATTGCGAATGCTATACAAAGCTCGATCGAGCAGATTGCAGTGGAAATAAATAAAACACTCGAGTATTTTTTAACGATAAAAATCGTAATGAAATTTTTGAAAGTGTATAACTATTTGCTTAAAAAGCATTTATTAAAAAGCGACGACTATGAATTGCAAAATTATATCATTGGATTATATTACGACATCACGTTCATCACAGCGTCGCAATTATCGTGATTGATCGCATACAAATTCTGCCGCATTTTCAACGTCGAGAGATAGATCCCGTATATCGCGAAGAGCACACCCATAAGATATGCTATTAGAGATTCCTCTCTTGAATACTCCATCATGTCAAATAGCATCATATGGAGTACGCACTAATCCATTACTTCAACGAAAGAAAGGAGAATTTTCTCAAAAGTGTCTATTTTATAGAATAATTTTTCAATTGCTCCAAAAAGCAATATTTTTATTTATTTGTTTGTTTATTATAAAGCTACAACCTGCAGATCGCATCATTTCTTTTTGAATGCCGTAAGATCCGAAACACGCGTATCTTTCCTTGAGAATTTCCTCGATAGTTAGATCGCAGGAAAACGTTTTATTACCTCCATTTCCGATATAAGAACAAGTGCTGGAATTGTGGAATCCGACATTCTCGAAGGTATTTCTCTTAAAGACGTCAGCTCCGCTGCAGCAATTGATCCTTCGAGGCACCTAACTAACAGTACGAAATTTTATGAAAGTTCCGACGTGGAATAGTACGAAATTGCGAGTTTTTTTTTCAGTAGTAATCTTCTTTTAGCACGATTTATGTGCGAAATTGAAATGATTCACAACAAATTTTGTAAAAATTTCTTTCGCGAGTTGAAGGATTTCTCACAACAGCGCGTAGAATTAAATCTGTTGTAATTAAGTTCAAATTAAAGCGAAAACTGCAACTGCTCGAGTTGCATTGAGCAATCGTCGTCTGTTCGTTTTATACCGATGTATTCCGCATCTTTAGAAACTGTCGCATCTTTACAAAGTGACAAAAGCACACTGCGTTTTCTCGGCAGAGAAATAGAGAGGAACGGGCGCGCTCGTCGCGCTTCGTTCTACTTGTCTGTCGCGATTCGTCCGTTTCTACTTCGCGCCTGGCGCTCGCCGTCGCGCGCGTTCAAGTTTTTTCTCCTAGCATTGCGAGCACGACGTAATTCACGCAACGTTGTCGGCTTAGTTTGTTGAACGACGTAAACGCGACCACTTGCAAAAGAGAAGGATAAAGATTTTTTTTAGATTAGAACATTGTCGGTTTAATCCAGGTGTAACTACTGAGATTTTATGTGTTTACCACAATTCGTCCGTTTCTACTTTACACGGTGCGCTTGTTACGTACAGTCAAACTTTTCAAGGGAGCATAAAATTCTGGCAATATATATGTATATATATTAGTGGAAACAAACATAATTAATCACATAAAAAACGCAAATCCTATTTTCGGAACATTGGAAAAACGTTACGAAAATATCATCAAGCTTGACAAATTGAAATATTCAACGATACATTTTTCGCTAATTGCCAGAAACATAGTACGATTATTGCATTTGCAATATGATACGTGATAAGTCTATTCGATGCCCAAAAATAATAATCAACATCTGTTTCCAGCCACGTAGATAAAGCCATATTGATTAAACTGAAATTGTTGAATTTGTGTACAATATCGCATAAATCCAACAAAACTGGACTGTGAAATCTATTAATTTATCTACACGCATATATTAATCTCACCGATCGCACGCGCAATTTCACATGTATATAAGTACGCTCATTCGTAATCACTATGGTATTAATAAATCATTATATATATACCGCTTACAAATTATACTTACAATAATATCATTGCAGTATAATGCAAATTTATGCAAAAGCGGACTCACTCAATCTCAGATGTTTGCGTTCGTTTTATTGACATTGTAATTCTCATTCATATGGCAGGGACTATCGCTTGTCTTACATTATGCATGCATTTTATGCATACCGCTACCGGGATAAGTAGTGGCGTAATTAGCGCGGTGTTAATAGTTTGTACTACTTGTTTGATACAATTCGCTTTCTTCTACCGTGTAACTCGCATTGCCTCGTTGAAACTCCACTTTGTCGTCTCGCGAGAACAATGGTGTAATTTATATGAATCCCTAAAAGCACAAAGTGAATTGCATACAGCCCGGCGTCTCTGGTGGGATTTATTTGCCTCTAGCGGCATAAAATCGACGATAATATTTCAAAAAGCTCGCAACATGCAGCATTACCGAGTTAATTACACAATAATTCGAATGAAATTCCTTATGCGAAAGAAGAGAGATTTAAAACAACGCAGTACTTTCCAACTGAAAAAAATAGCGGAAATATATATGACACTATGCGAATCATATAGAAAATATTGAATAAATGTTGAAAGAACAATTTATTCAAATAATTTGTCATTGCATTTATGTTTTTAACTAACCGGAAGGAAAATAACTACTTGACAATTATATCTACATTTATACTCTCTGTGCTACTTGTCATAAATTTAATTTTGATTTAATAACGCAAACGTATATATACATTCGGAACTACATCTCTAGCAACACGTGTTCATGACATATTTCTGGACCGCTTTTTCGAAACTATATTTTGTTTCTACCTTTGTACGCGAAGTTTGTTGATAACGACGCAACGGCGTGCGGCGTGTACAATAATGAGGGAGGTATAACAATCGTTCTCTGACATACCCTCTCATATACAGGCATCGGTGTATCGCGCGGCTGGGCTGCGGGCATTCGCTCTGCACAGCGGCTTGAGGAACATTAAACGGATCAAAAGAACGAGCATTTAGCACGGAGGAATGCGTGGCCTCCGACTCCCGGCTTGCACTTGCTTTGCCGGACGGAACCCACGAAGCCGAAAATCCTCGGGTATCCCGCACCCTCGCTGCGTGCGCGCTACGGTTTCGCGCGTCTATTCTTCGCCCGCTTTGCGGCTCGACGCCGCCGCCACAATATGCGCGCATCCGACGTTACAATAAACGGATGACGAGCGGCAACCCCGCGTGTCTGATCCCTACGCGGCTACATTGGACGGAAATTTATACGCTATAAGATGCATACACCGAACCTCTGGTGGCGGAGCACCATACATCCAACATATACTCTCGCAACGAGACAATACGAGCTAACAGTTGCGTTAAATAAATTTATATGTATCGTTTTAAATTTAAATTTACGCGCAAACGTTAATATATTCGACGAAAAATCGTGCTTTTTCCGATATTAATATGTCGCGACATTTTTATTTGTTCTTAAGAAAAAAATATATATAATTATGATATTCTTTAATAATATATTTCATAAACTTCTGAAATATATGCGAAATATCTTTGAGATAACGTTTTAGTAAGAGGAAACGATGTTGGCGAACAAATAAGATACGTTGAAGAGAGTACTTGGAGGCTGCCTTTATTCTCCACGTCTTTTACACGGTTTTGTCATCGCTCAGTATATTGCAAATTTCCCGACGACGCTATAGCTGGGAAGTTCGCGAGTATTCGACCTTAACGGCACACCGTTTCACGCACTTATCCTTCCTGTATTCTATGGCACGACAAGGCTGCTGTAAACGCATCCGGCGTTATAATAAACGGCTGATGGGCCTCATCGCTCGCAGCTACAGCTGAATTCCGCGCGCTCATTCAACGAAAACCCCACCTATTATGTAAACTCGCGTTTTTGTGACCAAATTCCCTCGCACGTTTAGCCAGAGCATGCAAATGCAAATATTAAATTCTCTCGCAAGTTGACGTTTAATTACTTTAAGATATATCTAACGTACAGTATAAGCGTATCAAAATCACCGTTACGTAAAATTGCTTTTTTAAATATATTTAAAGGGTGTCGACGCTTGTTCAATTAATTAAGATTTTATTGGTTAAAATACACCAATTTTTTTCTATATATTTATTTCTTTGAATTTAATTCGCCAAAAAAACTTTTTTACTTTTTATTTGCTCATATCCCAATATTGTTGACATTTAATTTTTATTAAACATCTGCTTTTAAGACATAAAATTTTAATCTCTATTTCACAATGAATGTACAGTATAAAACATTTTAATAATATAGTTCTTTTTCGGATATCACGTAATAACACATAATGGGACGCCGAAGGCATTATTCTCATCTTTCTGTATATTTTTACCTGATGTCCAAATGAAACAAACATGATGTGCAAAAAAATATTTCGCGATTATAATATAAATATTAATTAAAGTCTTAAAGTCAACCTTATAACGAATTGAGTATATCGAACATAGAATATATCAAAATGAAGCTAAGTCTTAACATGTAATCGTCTAAAAATAAGCGAACAAAAGCACCAAGGACAGCAAAGCGAAGTCCTGTCCGCGCTCATGATGCCCAACACAAAGACGGCGTTATTTCGCCGAAAGAATTCTTCATAACGAATGTCACGGGCCGCAGGCCCGACGATTCTCCGGTCGTCGCCTTTGTGCTGGGGAAAAATCCGCGCGTTAAATCTCATGCTTGTCAACCGACGCCATTCTTCTTCTATCTGTTCTAGAGCCCGACGCCGCCGCAATACGTGTTCTGGTATCACAATAACCGGATGATAAACTACGACACCACGCGCGGCAGCGTGACCGTACAAACCGATCCAGGACCAACTCAGAGCCGGCTGACGATTCGCCAGGCAGTGGAGACGGACACGGGCAATTACACGTGCAGCGCCTCCAACACCAAGCCGGCATCGATCTTCGTCTTCGTCACCGAAGGCAAGTATAAGCAGCGTGCTGTTTCGTACAAAGCGAACTTCCTTAATCAATATAACGCGGTCGTCCCGCGGCAGTCTCCCTTAACTACCTTTCTCTCTAAACGGATACCTACTCGTAATGATCCCCGGACGAACGAAATTGAAAAACTTGCTTCAATCCGGACAGGTATTTTACAGACGTTCGATGGACTATATACTTGTATTCAGACTATCTTTTCCTTAATTACCTTCCTTCGAGTCAATTTTTGAAAGATTTCTCATTGAATACCTAGCTACATCGAGATATTTAATATTGAAATTGCTGACACCGCGAAGGAAAGATTAGGTACATCAATCATGATTTCATCAAGAATACATCGGCTCCGAAATCGCCGGAAAGCCTGGCTTGAGGGAAGATACGCGATTCCTGGCAGAATTCTATAAGTCACGCGAAGAAAAGAAAATCCATTCCCAAATTAAAAATGTCACCGTTCTGATTGAAAGTATTTATTTTCCTCTCTCGCGCGAGAATATCCAACATTTCTCTTATACCTATACGATTACATAACGTCGCATATAAATATATATCTATATATTGAATAAAGAAAGAATAATTTCAGTAGAAAAAGAAAACTCACAGGTCTGGTGATTTTTATCGAACGAACACACGCGAGAAATATTTAAATAGCAGTAGACATTTTTAAAGCAGAGTGCGGAGATTTATAATAATGAAAATTGCACTGTCCACGCGGAAACATGGGAGCAAAACATTTCCCAGAATTGCCTAACATTCTCCCAATAAAAAAGTACATTTATTTGACAGCGATATCCCAAATTCCGCTTCACAGGACACAGTTCCTTTTTTTCTCTATGTTTCTATTTCCGTTTATACACGGATTGCGCGTGGACGAGTATACGCGGCGCCGTGTATATGCGTGTGTATATGTGCGACGATGTGCGTGAAAGAGTCGACGACAAGTCTCCCCGGTCCTTCAACGATCGATCATTCGCCGCCGTCGGCCACTCTCCGATGTGTATATATAGCGCGATTTAACCCCTTTCTAACAAGGGCCGTGGCTGGAGAAGAAGCCCAAGGCTCTTATGGCAAAAAGCGGTCCTCATCGACTCGGTGTTGTTGTCGGAAAATCCGCGCGCACAATGATTTTAGCTGCGGCCCGCAATTTTAGGTCCGCCACGGTCGCCGCCGGTAATTGATGTGAAAGGATGAGGACACACAGTCGCGAAAATCTTAATTGGATTACGAGAAACTCGGTCGGCCAGAAGATTTATTATGCGGATATACAGAGAGAGAGATAGAGGGGGGGGAGGGGGCGTCTCAACTCGGGATAAACGCGTTTTCGCGGACTTTTGATATATGCATGTCGCCGGATGTGAAGAAATTGTAATCTCACGCGATCACAGCTGCGATTAAACACGGGGAATATTACGTTCTAATTACGTTAGATAGACAGCGGATGATTGCTTAACCCGCGAGATGTACGTCGAACTTAGCGGGATCTCTTTGAATAGAAGGCGTCTTGTATCTATCTGAAGACAGTTTGTTCCTGACACGACGAGAGAGAGAGAGAGGAGGGGGGAGAGGAGGGACGAAGAAAGACAGAGAGTAAATGGAAGAACAATCGTCGTGCAATGCATTCGGCTTTAAACTGACAAGTGATATGCCGTTAAATGGATCCCACGTGACGCTTCGCGCGACAGAATAGAGCGGTTTCCGTTGAAAACGATCAAACGAGAAATCGGGTACAGCTCCCGGGCTCTTGGCCGCGGCCGATAGGTAGCTCGCGCGCTCCGATGGAACTGACACGCGAGGAGCGGCGCGGCGGCGCGGCGAGTCCATCGCGTGCGTGATAAACCGCTATACGAGCGGTCCCTTCTGTTCCGCGAAGTACTAAGCTTTCAGGTTAAATTTTGAAGATATGGACTCCATTACCGGCGCGGCACCGACCCGCACACCGAGGCCGACGCGAGTGTACGCGCGCGTGTGTGTCGCGCGCGTACGTATAGCGAGCCGCGCGGCGCGCGCCCCGTAATTCACGGCCCCCGGGAACATATGGGGCGACGCCTCGCGCCGTAAATTACGGTAAAAGTGTGCATGCGCCGCGTTTCGGAGGAGACACGTATCGCCGATGAATGTTGCAAATCTGGCGGTTCTCGCGCGCGCAACGGCGCGTACCATGAATTTTGATATTCGGGAGACAGGAAGAAGGATCCGCGCGCGAGCCGCTCTCTCTTTCTCTTTTTCTCTCTCTCTCTCTCTCTCTCTTTTATTCGCCTCGTTTGGCAAATTTACGATAGGATTATATCACGCCGGTCATTCTCCGGACGCGATATGATATATCGATAGGCCAGGTCAAGGCGGTCCGCGATATAATTAATGACGAACGGTGACGTAACGCCCGGCCCGGGACAAATGCGGTCGTCAACGTAGGCGCCGCGACGTCGTCGAGTCTGCCCGCGGTGAGGTCGTCGTGCGATGCCCCCGTCCCGTATACTTATTTAGCAAGCAATTTTTTGTACCTATTCTTGTACGAGCTATTACGAAATGATTCTTCTCCTTGCCGTAATTATAAAATAGAGCTCGACCGCAGAACTATTTATTCTTTTGCAGTTCAAATTAATTTTCGCAAATGAATATTTCTTTCTCAATTTCATCTAAACTGCGAGTCTAGTATATGAGTCGAAGAACTTTTATCATTCCTTGGAGGAATTTATGGATATTGCAAAAATACAGTTTAATTACAATCATCTTTTGGATTGCTTTGAGAACCAAAGGATTAAACGACTTGAAAAATTAATACGTTAATACTAATTTTTAGGTAATTTCTCCTTCAGGCCGCGTAGGTCGCATACTTCACTTTGTCAAGGCTAATAGTTTTGCTTGTATGAATTTATTCTTATTATGAAAAAGTATAACAATGTTTTTATAACTATATAATTACATTACATATAATATTTAAACATTAAGCATTAATACATGATTTTATGAAATATTTTATTAATAATGTTACATATAATAGCAAAAATATTGAATGGCCTGAATGGAAAGTTCAGCGAGCGGCGCATAGCCTTCACAGGGGGACGCTTTGCAAAGGGTTGCAACAAAGTGAGCTCGGGGAGGGACGACAATAATTTTACTTTTGTTAGATGTATAACAAGGGGTAAAATTATTCTCTTCGCTCAACGTTGCGTGGGCTTTTTAATTCTCATACGGCAGTAACTTTCATGCGAATTACAAAATTCTTTCCATATTTGACACAGAAACCTCGTTGAGTTATTTGCACGCGCTCGACACGTCCGTTTCGACATTACAGCATAGCTTGGTCGCGACATATATCCATTTCACTCTCGCTCGCGGCCCGAGATAGAGATTAATTATATTAGAAACGCATAATAATGAAATGAAATCTCCGCTGGCTGCGCGCGTTCCCGTTTGACCGAGATTTTTAACCCCGTTGCTGGTGAAGAAACGCCGCGAGAGTCTCGACGAACGTAATATGTCTCGTGTTATGGCGAATTAATAATAATAGATCTCCCGAAGTACGTACAACTATTCGGTTATACCCAGCATCTACTCGGACTAGGTAGAATTATGCTTGTAAATATTGCCCGCGAGATTATTGCGTTGCCCAACGTTACCCGGCTGTAATGATTGATAACTACAGAGTTACTTCTCCGGGTCGGTTAGTGCGTTCCTATCCGCTCTCTCTCTCTCTGGTTATTTTGATCCGCTCGTACGAGGAAACATCGTAAAATCCTCAATGAATATGCAGAACTTGAGACAGCCGCTCTAACCGGGAAATTCCGCGAGCTTCGCGCGTGACGCGAGGGCGAGGGGGAAGGGGAGGGAGGGAGAGAGGAAAGGGTGGAAGACTCGACGGTGTTGCGATAAATTATCTAAACGCCGCGAAACGCCGAGGGGTAAATTGGCTTAGCGCAACGATACTAGATCGCAATCTTGTTAAAGACGGGGCGGACACACCTTTCCTGCGTCGCGGAAGACGGCGGCGTTAAACCCAACTTCCAAACTCGATGTCGACGAAGCCCCGCGGCGATCCTCCGGCCCACCCTCACCTCCGACCAGTTGTCATCAGCTCGTAAACCGGTGTTTGCATCTAACGCGCGTATATTGCGACCTTTGTCTTCTCTCGGCTAATCGCAAGGATCGCTCGTAAACTCTTATTTACGCTTTTCTGCCAATTATAGCGCGTACAAATGGTTCACGTTGTCGCCAGGATTCCGACGACGACGACGACGGTTCCACAACGGTTGTTCAGTGAACAATAAAAGTGCCGTAAGCGGGTAGTTCATCCAATTTTTGTATATAAACACGACTATCTCGGATTCCAATTAACTTTTAATATATATCTTTTTATTTTAATTTTCTCTATTACATTTTTAACTGAGTTTTTCTTATAAATTATCACATTATTCGCGTAAACATACATTTATACGTACACACATATACATGTATACACATTTTTAATTGATCTTTTTTGGAATAAATTGTAACAAGTTTATGCAAATAATTTAGTAATTTATGCAAAAAGCTCAGTTAAAACCTAAAAGAAAAAATTGAAACAAAACAGATTGAAATACGCGAGAAAAAGGGCAGCGTAATATTATCAAAGGAAGAAAATTTAGAGTGTTGTTAAAGAATATTCGCGATGTTGATAGTAAAGAGAGAAACGGTGAGAAATAGATATCGACAAAATAAAGTAGAAAGCTGCTCGGTCTGAAACGACTTCATTTTGTACATAACAGCGGCGAACATAAAATTAACTTTGCGTTCACTTGTCCTGAATTTTTAAAGCCATTTTTACCAGGAATACGTATTCTCTGCCGATGCTTGATCGTGTTCTCGGTCCACGAATGTCTCCACAAAAATAAAAACTACATAATTTTACAGAAACATTCTTGATGAATGCGAGGGACCAAAAATTCCGTGACGCAACGGGAAGATAAATCTAGTTTCTTGCAAGATGCAAAATAGAGTGTCTTTCT